ATGAAATCCACTCCCACTTTCTAATGTTTTATAAGCCTCATTGTATTGAAGGAGAGGTCAGTCATTCTTTTTCTTAACCCAATAAAGCGAGGATAACTTGTTCGTCCACACGAGACAACAACGCGCATTAATTGCCCCTTGGATTCGGTTCTCCTTTGAACTCAACTGTCACTCAAATCCAACATAACCCTGTCCAACTCAACACACCTCAATCAACTCTCCGCAAACAACGCGAAAGGTAAATCAACCTTGGTCGAAATATTGGTTGTATTTTTGGTTCTCATAGACATCACCTCCAACGAATCAACGAATTTCACAACTTAGGCCTGTACTACTTAACACTTTCTGTATTGGGAAATCGATTATAATTTGAATCATTTTATATAAGAACTTTCCTACACAAACTGCTTAAAGATGGCTTTCATTATGAAACTACGAGAAATTTGTATTTATGCAAATATTTCATTTTAACAATTTTAGCGATCAACTGTTATTTATTTAAAAATCCATCCGTGTTAGCAATTTGCGCTATATGTGGTGCATTTTATTGTTCTACACATCATGGAGCGATCAGTAGGAAATATAAAGGAAATGTTGCGTGAAAATGTTGCCCGCTTTTTAGAGCATGCCGATGGACGTGAAGTGATCGTTAGCGTAACGGCACGACTTGTCAAGAAACGTCCGTTTCATGCCTTCGTAAATGATGAGATAATATTTCTCAGTAGAATGGAAAGAGTGAAGCAAAATTGATATTTTGTTTTTTAATTCGCATGATTTAACAACATTGTTGTCATATTACCATTAAAAGCATTGAACTACATACTAACTTCACTCGATACGATCAATGATGTATTATTGATTATTGTTATCTATTGGTTTGTGTTCTTAGTTCTGGTTTTTAATGCTTGGTAGTTTAATGTTCTTAATTCTGGTAGTTCTTGATCTTATCTTTAATGGCCTGGTAGTTTTTGACATAAGTCAATCAGTGTTCCCGATAGTTTTTGGCCATGCTAACGATGTTGAATAACTTATTCAAAAATCAAATTTGGACTGAAACATTGCATAATCTAATATTTCTCTAAATTTCAGAGAGTGAAGAACAAAAAAGAATGGAAAAGGTTAACATTTATCTGATTACTTGTCGGAACTTTACCTGTTAAAGGTTTTAGCGTTTTGTTTTAAACGAAATAAACTGAAATGAATGTTCAATATCAGCACTAAAACTAACTAATGTTGATTTTTTCTACTTTTTCAAGTTGTTTTTTCTACTTTTTCAAGTTGTATGTTTATAGGATTCAGAAATTGAGCAGTCAAAGTCAAATGCGACGGATAAAACGCCATCGAAAGTTAGCAAATCAACCACCGTCTCCAGCCAAGATAACAGTTCCGGGATTGTGAGTACATTATTTGTAAATACAAAAAAGTTAAAATGAATTCTAGAAGTTTTAATAAGATATAGAAGTCAAAATGAATTTTTTATTCTGAAGTCTAATGAATTTAATTGTATCTTTTAATGCGTACCTTTTAGAATTATTATTTTCAAAGTTTCATTATCAGAAAATAAATCATAGATTTTCTTCCCTTGGTTTCCATAATTGTTTGATAATTCAATGTAATAAACTCTCAGTAATATTCTTCAATTGTAGAACATGTCACATTGTGATATGATGCTATCATTATTTAAATTGCTGATATAAATTCCAGGATTGGTATGGTAAAGGAAAAGACAGATATCATTATGGTAAAGAATAGATTATTTATCAAAAAGAATAAATGATGTGCCGTAAACAAAAGAAAAGAAAATGAGGAACAAGACAGAAATTTGGTTCAAAATATTAAAAAGTTAATTACCTGTAAATACCTATGTGAATGTTCCAACGTTTTTTTATCATGAACATTTCTATCGCTTCTTTTATTCTTTGTGAACAAAAATTACCAAATAAAATTAATTCTCAGTAATATTTTTTTAAAATAGTTCACAATAATTTGTTGCAACATTCTTCTAGTACATATTTTCTTGAGTATATATGATTAATTAAATTTTATTTCCACTCCCACAGTAGTAAATGGTGATATTTGAATTTTCTCTCATTACCTAAATTACCTTTTATGATAGTATGCTAAACTATGTAGGCATCGATTAGAGTATTTTCACTCAGTTATTTCTGGTATACGACCCTTTTACTGGGACATTTATGAATCTCAACTTTTATTATGCAACAATAGGTATACTTTCTTGTTAATTATTAGCAGATACTAAACTCAACTGAATTCTCATTTTTACAATTTTCTTATTATAGTTGTTCGGTGATGATTTTTGTGTAACAATAAGTAATGCAAAAATTAATGGAAGTAAAATTTAATTGAGTGATTTAATCCAATTTTGAATGAAATTGAATTTCTATTCCGGAAAACTTCTTTCTTTAATTCTTATTTTGCTTACCTTTTTCATTTATACAATTCATTCCGCCTTTTTGCAATAGAATTGTCTTGAATTATTAGTTTCATTGAAATTGTGATGTGACTCATAAAATGATCAGTAAAGAATAGAATTTGCATAATGTTGCATTCGCGAAAAATTTAAGAAAACTGGAAATTCCTTCAGTTAAATTTTAAAAAAAATAAATTGTGTTTATTTGTTCATTTAATTATGGTATTTTAGCTCGGAATTTTTGAGAATTTCAATGTAAAACATTCCAAATAGCTCTTTTTAGGGACATTTTTCTCAGTAATCTACTTTTTCTACCTCTTTTGATCTTTTAGTAATATACTTTTAACTTTCACTCACTTTGAATTAATTTTCCCGTCATTCATATATTCATCTCATGAATTGCAAATTGTAAGCATTTATGAAATTGCAAGAAAATAGTTAATGATAACAATACAGAAACTGTAATAACCGCAAGTACAATAATTATCATTTCCGATAATCCATTGCTTGCTTTTTTTTAACAAATTCAATTAAGCCAAAGAGTGATTTTACAATAATAATACAGGAAATATTTTTATGAGAGCATTTCACATTAAGAAATTTCTTCATTTCCAAACTGTACATTTTGTTTCATTTTAGCCAACGATTCTTTTTTCTTTGTAACCTATTTAGAAGCAACTTTAGCGAATTTAAGAAAAATTCAGTGATGCCTTTATTTTCTTTGCTCCATTCTGCTAGATTAATTTTCTTTATTAAATATTTTTAAGTTTTTATTATTTAGATTAAAGCAAATTAGCAGAACAGACGTTTACCTACATTAAATGTTCAATTTCCATCTTATTTTATATCAAATTAGGATCATGGAGATTATTAAAATTCAAGTGCATCTTTCAATAGCAACATAAATTTCAATTTCTAGAAAGGGTTATTATGCTAGTTAAAATCGATTTTGTTCCAAATAGAATCTTACTGGTCTTCTTTTTGTTGGACAAATGATCAGTAATTTATTGATTCTCAATTAATATTACTACTACTAATGACATACTCAAAGTGATTAATTTCAAAAATAAAAAAAAGAAATAAAATTTTCTCTTTTACTTCTTTGTTTTTTTATGGCAGTACACAAGTGCAAGAATTCTTGCAAATTATAATATAGTAAAAAAGAAGAAGAGGGAAAGATGAAAATGACAATAATTAAGAGGTTAGAGTGCGGAATTGGAATAGGAAAAGGAGTATGTCATATTACGAAAATGTCGTGTCAACATCATTTTCAATTTCAAAATAAGATTTTATTAATGCCTGCGGGCACTAATAGAATTCTCATGAAATATGCAAAAACAAGCAATTGAAGTAAAACTGGATGTTAAAAAAAAGCCAGGAAATATCATTATCCAATTTTGGTCAGACAATTCTGCAAGAATATATTTGCAAATTTGAAAAGATAAATGGTATGGGAAAAAAGGAAATCGTTAATATCAAAATTTGAGAGAAAAATTTGTCTCTTAATGATACTCTGACTAAGTCAAAAACAGTATTTTAAACTCAACTGATATACTGTATCGTGTTTCATACCAAATTTTTTCCGAATAGTGTATTTCTTAATGACAGTGCTTCTCAAAATGACCTGATGTAAAAGAAGGGAGAAAAAAGTTTCTTTTTTTTCTAAAGATAAGTGCGTCTCACATATCAATTCAGCATTTTTACAAAATATTAAAAAATTAAGTGATATTGAAGTGCGAAAAAAAAGAAGCTTATAGCTTATTAATATTTAGATTCCAGATTTATCATTATTTTTCATTCTTTACTTTGCTTCATAAAACTGTTCAAATTTGTTATTGTTATTTAGATGCGAATTTGTATTTTATTTGATATTTTTCATTGTGAATTTTCATGAAATATTTATGAAACTGCAGGAAATAAAATGATAAAAAGTTTTGTCCATTTCTTGGCTACGATATTTTCAATTGGATAACAAAATTTTTTGTTAAATTTATCTGTGCTTATTAGTTTACCGCTAATTAGGGCATTTCTTTCTTACTTCGCTAATTGAGAATTGTAACAATTGTAAAAATTTCAATTCAAATTTTTACTAAAAATAATCATTATAATTTTTTTTAAAATCTTTGCTGCTATTTTTTCAATTTACTACTTTGCATATACATACAATAGAAATAATGGAAACAAAAAAAGTCTCGATGGATATTTTCATATTTAGTATTTCAATCATTTAGAATTTCAGTACTTTTTAAGTAGTTCAAAACTTCAAGCAATTTATTCTGACACTTTTTCTTTCATTTAACCTTCCATATTATATGCGCAAGTTATACCATCATTACTTCTCCAACACTCTTTCCGTTTTTTTTTAGATATTAATATCAAATGAAGAAAAAGTTTATTTAAAAAAATTTTAAATAAAATTATCTCAACATTTCATCTGCAAATAACGCGTCAGTGGATTGTCATAATTGAGTAATCTTCACTTGTTAATTATTCATACTGCAAATTGCATATTTGGTCAAAAATTTAAAATTTAAATAATCATGATGATATAAATATTCACTTAACCGCTAATTTCGAAGCTTTGTGCTAAAATTGCTGGTAATATCAATTTAATTTTTTACCTGCACATTTTGAACATTCATTTTAGCCACTTTTTGTTCACTTGCTAAGCACTGCTATTTCATTAGCTATTTTTTTTCTGAATTTTTTTCCGGAAGTCCCTTCACTTACGGATATTTCATGCAAATATTATTTCAGTATGACATCATTGTGATTTTGAAGTAATTAAAAAGTTAATGATTAATTTCAAAAGTGAAATGGTGAAGGAAGGAATAGCTAGTTATTGCTAAATGTATTGATATCACATTTACCTGTGATGGAAGATTTCACTAATAATGCTTCAACCGCTTCCTGTCAACAAATAGTAGAATTGCCACATTTTCGTTGCTGTAACAGTAAATGGAAGCGCAAGAAAAGCCTTCAAGATGCGATTGCATTTTCATTAAAACAAGTTGTAAATTCTCCAATTACATTATCATTTCTATCAATTCAAGCAAATTATTGCTATAATAATTAAAATAATTAGAGAACGTAATTCTTTTAATTATTATAATATTATGAAATATCAAAAAATAATTCTCAATTAATCTTCTTAATATTTCATAAAATCAATAAAATGAATATTTTAGTGAAAGCAATAGTAAATATTTAATATGTCAGAAATAGCGCTGCTTAAATTTGAAAAACATTTCAATTGAACGAGTAATGAAATTAATAAACTGAATCAAATGTTCGCAATGTTATATAAATTCGAGAAAAACATTTGAGAGCTGAAAAATTGCATTCATTAGGAACTAAAAACAAAATCGTATATTAATTGAAATATCCTTAAATGATATCCATAAAACTGAAAAATCATGTCTATTTGATAATATAAATTTGATAGTATGACAATTACATTTTAAAACATAATTGGTGATTGCTGTATCAATCGGAAAGCAGCAGTACTTATATGAGGTTTAGCTATCGGTAATGTTGCCTTTATTGCATCAAGCAATGTCAAAAATGATAAGATCCGATTTATTATCGATCATTGGATAATTTTCCAAAATGTAAGCTTTTAAAATATTTCAATTCAAAAAGATTGGCATTTCTTCTTTTTGCCGGATCGTATTTTTTAGGATATTTTTAATTTTTACATGGTTCATCAGTGGTTCATCATCATTCAGAGTTCATTATCCACGCACTATTTGGATTGGACAAAACTGATAATTTTAATATAAGCCATAAAAATTTTGATAATATTTACAAAACTATATTTACTGCATGCATCAAAACTGAATAATATACACAAAAATTTTTTATTTTAAACTTTTTCACTTAAAAATTTATTTACACTAGATTTAATAAAGTGCATCGGAATGATGGATACATATAACTCACAATGAAATAAAGAAATAAAAAAAATTAAATATTAAAAGTAAGTTGAGAATGTGTACATTTCCATAAAATCCAAGTGCGCTTTCATTTTGAGCAAAAAAAATTTTTAAATCCTATTTTTGTCCCAAAATTGATCGTTTCTAATTAATTGGAAAAATATGCCCAAAATTATATCCTCTATTTTTTCAAAAAAAGAAAAGAAAAGAAAAAAAATCCCTAAATTTGACACACGCAGAATGATTCTTTTCAACCTTTTTCTTTCTTTTTTCAAATTAAACTAAACAATCTAATATTTCAATTTCATTCCAAATAAATTTATATGGCAAATATTTAACATTAGCATACTGTCATTTTCAAAATTTCTACCAAAACTTCAATGATGATGCTGATGATGATGACATTTGTATTGATAATAATTAATGTTAGTTAGCCACTGCATTGTGGTCAAAATTTATGTTCGATGACCAGCAGCATACTCTTTAAGGACATGCTCAAATAAATCCATACAATTACCATTAAATTTTACATTTGGTAATTTGGGAATGTTATTTTCACGACAAATTCTCAAAAATATCCTTTTTGCCACATAAATGCAATATGGACAATCGTCATCGAAGCAGTGAAGATTACATCGTTTTCTAGCGCATGAATTGATATGAAGCGCATCTTCTAGGAAGCATTGCTCCAAACAAGTTTCAATTTTAGGACATACCATTTCTGCAAATATAAATAATTTAAATTTAACTATTAATATAACTTTACTCATGCAATAAATTGCAACAAAAGTTTAAAGCATTGATTAAATTTAAATTTTATGCTATCAGCTAAAATTTAGTTTCTTGAAAAATGAATAAACAATGAAAAAATATCCTGTCACCTCTGTTATTATAACTTTTTTTCTCTGTTACCATTTGTTATAATCAATGTTTTTCTCTCTAAATTTCTTCTCAATGTTTTTGCATCACTAAAAGAAAATTTCCCGAATTTTACACTTTCGGAATGCTGCATGTTTTTCGGTTTCTTCTTTTTACATATAAAATATTGAAAGATATTGAATGGGCAAATTTTATTACCAAATTGTTAAAAGAAGGTTGTATGACCTGAGAGTGACTTCAAAGAGACACATAATAAATATTCTTACATGAGTTAATCTTTCCTGTTAACTTCCATAATTATTTATGAATGTAATTAAATATAAACTTGGCTTTTTACCAAACTCTCAAAAATTGGAAAATGCTCGTGATTTTTGTTATTTAAAATCATCTGTATAAATAGAATTTGGTAAGAAATACCAATAAATTAGGCGTATTTCTGTTTAAAAACGAATTATTGATGCAATCAATTCTTTCAATATGAAAATTAATAGAAAAATAATTAAAATTAAGCATTTGTTATAGCAATCAGTAATGTGTTAGCGATTAGGTTAACATGAACAAAATTCAGCGATAAAATTAACGATATTTTCGATATTACTCTTTCTTAAAAACTAAAGAATGAATGATAACTTGTCAATTAAATGATTATTTATGATATTTCAAAATATTGAGCTTTGTTATCTCTACCTGCTAATCAATTAAATATCAATTGTTATACAGTCAAATATTACTTGTTTTAGCACCGGAGGTAACTTTAGATAGTTGATCTAAGGCATAGTTGCACTGCTCGCATGCATTGCATGCATCACGGCATTTTGTCACAATGCAAACAAAACTGAATTGATCAACCATAGCGGAAAACATTCCAACTGCACTCATTGTATGCAATGCTGTTTCAGTTTTTTCTAAAATTCATAAATATATGAGGAAATGGAATAATATTTTGTAAATTGTAGAATGCAAAATAATTGCATGCATTCATGACTATTTGCATTATACAATACACACGTTTACTTTAAATTTGTTTTATTTAAATTTAGCTCATCAACTTAACATCATGTTATCCACTAACTATATGATTTGTTGTGATTTATTAATTTTCAATCATTTTCACTTTTTTAACACTCAAATATCTAATTAATTAGTTCAAGAATTTTTTTTCTTTTGAAAATAATAACCTGTAGAGAAGCATCTTTTAATAATACAACGCGTAAGCTTTCCGCAAGAACTGGCGTCAGCTGACGATAAACGAATAACGCCCCATAGTATGATCGAAAACGCTAATTTTAGCATGCCTAAAATATTCATTGTTTACACATAGAAGCAAAAATTTATCAAAAATTATTAGTTGCAATTTATTGCATGACTAAATTCCAATTTAATTGATTTATACATTTAATTTTTGATTTTGTTTCTAATATTTATAACAAAATTACCGAACATATGTAGAGGCAAATCGTTTTCGATCTTTCGCTACCTCCGGAACCTTATTACTGACACTTATCTATCTGAAAGATTCTAAGATTCAATGCATTTAAATGTATGCTTTAAACTATAAGAATTGCTGAAAGATTAATATGACAATATTCTATAGTGAAGATTTTAATTTTAATTTGCACAATTTCTTTTCATTGTTTAAATTTCATTCTTTTACATCACCATAAGCAACGAAAAACAATAATTTAAGTGATTGAGATTGTAATTTCCTTGTAAATTAAGGGAAGAGGCATTAAATTTTTACACGAAGATAACATATCCAAATTTAAATAACGATATTAGCTATGAACCAATTAGAATTTATATCATAATTTAATGTTCTATAAAAAAAAGAAAAGATTCTGTAATCTGTGAGATCAAAATTACAGCGAGCAGTTCATCGCATATGATCTTTTAGAAATTTGCGTTCTTCGAACATGTGTAAGTTGAAAAAAAATTTTTTTTATTTAAAAAAAATCATTCAAAAAAACTCATTTATTTTAAATGTCACTTTTTTGATTCATTATTCCGTTGGTCACTAGAAAAAGCATTAAAACGCCAATTTAATTTTTTTTGCCTTTTAAACTATAATCTATTATTATTTATTAATAAATCTGAAGTGCCATTGAAATAAATACTAAAAACAAAAGATATTCATGAATCTCTCTCTCTTTGTTTAGGATTTTTATAATGTTTGATTGGAATGAAAATTTCATTTATACCCTTGATAAATTAGTTGAAAATTGATTTAGTAGTCGGAAAAAATTTTGAGAAATAAACTGATTAAAAATAGAATATAGCCATTTGACAAGGTAATAATTAATAGAAATTTAATTTTACTTTCAATATTTTTTAAGTACGAAAAAAGTAAAACCATCAAGTAGTTTTTACTAAATGTTAAGCTCTAAATAAATGACGACATTGTTTCTGATCACTTTTAGAAAAAAGGTAATGTCGAGCTGCTATATGGATTGATCGCAAAAAAAGTAGGAAATTATTCGGTATTGTACTGAGTTAACTTCCAAATAGGTTCAGTAATAAAGCAAATTCCAGTACATGACATCAAATTCACTATTTCTCTCAGTTAATTTGCAAAATTATCAATTAAAATAAAAATAACGGAATTGGAAGAGGAAAAAAATCAGACACAGTTGAAAAAAGGTGACAACGAAAACGATGAAAATGATGACGATAACGTAAATGAAAATATTTTCCCAATTCGCTTTTTTTTGTAAACAACAAAATAAAAATGCTTAAAAATGTTAACATTTGTTGCTATTAATAGTGTGAATGATGATAATAATGAATTTAAAAAGTAATGATAGTGATAAGTTTAGCAATGATACGAATTAATATATTAATGATAGTAATAATAATAATAATCGTTACTCAGAAAAGGTAAAAGGAAAAGACGATGGAAGACATGTTCTGTTGGCATTCAGAAAGAGAGTAATTGGCGTAACAGCTTTGAAATGTTTGTTAGTTTCAACCTCGAAAATTAAAACATGATTTTTGAGCGAACGACGCAACATGCAACCAATAAGTACTTTCACAGCATGAAAATTCTTCCAACACAAGAAGAACTTCATGTACTCACTCCATTTGGATTGGTTCAGAATTTATTCAATATAAAATTGTTTGAATTATCACTGAAACTAAAGTTCTGCAAAAGTACAAATACAATTTTCAAAAGTAGGAAGAAAAGATTGATTACATCAGTTTGCCGTTTAATTCATATTAATAAGAAGTTTTGTTTAAAAACTTATTTCAAATTCCTACACTCTTTATTATCCTCTCTTTTGTTTAAATGATGTTTGTTTTGTAATTTTAAAAATTATATTTTAATTTTCATAAAAGCTTACAGCTTATTGGAACAAACTTTCAGCATAGCAATTTATCAATTTCATTTTTCATACATTTTTCCTGATATTTTTGTAAAGATATTCTTTAAAATTGATTGTAACACTCAAATATAATTCCAATTTACATTTTAGTTTCAATACAACTTATTCAGTTGTATGAGAATTTGGTGGAGAAAAATTTGCATTGATAAAACATGGAATGCTGAAGTGGCCAATAGGATAAGGTTTCATATCCCGTATAATGGAAAAGATCCGTTCTTTTTCTTTCATTATTATCTCGACTATTGTTCCCTGAATGAGCGCTATTGTCCACTCATTTTAATTTGCTCTCTTTTTAAATCACCGCAATGTTCCATATAATTTTCTTCAATGAAAGATTGATTTTCAAAAGATTTGCGCTGATATTTCATATTTTACATCGGTCTAATTAACATTTCCGTCTGAATTTTTACAGATATCAACTTTTTCAATGATAATTGAAAGATTAAAAGATTGGAAGAAAATTTGAAATCAAAATATGCAGTGATGGATATATTTATCGGTAAGAAATTTTTCGTCAAATTTGCTTCAATCTCTTAACACTCACTCCTAAATAAGCTGTTAATTGAAAACTTTTGTTTATGCCTTTCAGAAACAAACAAAAAGCATTCATGATTAGCACTCAATCTGATATCACTTCTCATTTTAGCTTTTTAATAACCACAGCTCTTAAAAACTTTAAACTGTTCACCACAAATCAATATATCATCTGCAAATTGAAAATGAAACGCGATCACACTTTTTGAATGTTTGCAATTTTGCCTCTAAAATTTTTACACGAATTATTTTTTATTGATGTTTTATCTTTTCTAAAATATAAAATAGTATTAAAAGCTTTGAATAATTGAAAAAACAATAACAATAATAGCATAAAAGTGAAGCGGAGATACCCTTATCTTTCCCTACTTTTTTAGCAACTAAATTAAAATAATAAATTAATTGATACTATCACAATTAATTGTTAAATATATCTTCCAATCAATGGTTATGCATAATTTTTGTTACTCAACATTTTTTCATTAGCAGTTTCTTAAATTAGTCCTGAATATTTCCGAAACTTCTCTTCTCTTTCCGCCATTTATTTTTCTTATACTAAACGTTTGCATTATTGAAATTTTTATAATCGATTTCTACCTCACTTACAATCTTCAGTATCTCTCACAGAGCAATAATAATAGAATATTATCCAAATGCTTGCCAAAAAAATAAATGCGCAATTGACCCGATGCTTTCTTAGCTCATTTTGTTTGGATATATTAAAATCTGTTGATCTCTTTTACTGTTATCAAACATTCGCGTCAGCATTTCTTCCATTCTGTCATTAATTCTCTGTTCTCTTAATGACCTTTGCCCTCTCCTTTCCATCCTTTCACTTTCAACCAAATTCTCACATTTTCTCTTCAATTTACATCAATTGACTAAAAATAGAAATTTTTTCGATGGAAATGAGTATATTAAAAACAGTTAAAAGTATATGAAGGCAAAAAATAAAACTTAGAAAGCTTTAATTATTTTTCCATTTCTTGATGGACATTGAAATTAAAATTTTTAATGAAAAGAAATATTCTGCAAATTGCAGCAATAATGGCTTAGAATAATGCATTCCTATTATTATTACATCTTGATTGTGAACGAATTACTTGAACAGGAAAATTTAAAAATTTATTAATTTACAAATTGTAATAAAAAAAGTCAAATATATGTTTGAGATGGTTAAAGGCATACGAATGCAAAAAAAGACATCGATAAGCTTTGGTTGTAAAGGTCAAATTAATCGATTTCATCTGTCTTTTATTAATCTTTGAAATCTGAAGATCGAATAATATACAAAAAAGTTTGAAAGAAGTGCAATATTCGTGTGAAATATCATTCCTGTCTTTAACATTTCTTGAATTCTTTTGATAAAATGTTTAAAAAAAAAAACAAATAATCAGTTAGAAAAGGTTTTTGATTTGTAAATCTCCTTGATTTATTCTCATTCTCTGATAAGGAGTAAATATCGATAAACCGCACTGTCTTCAAACATTATCACAGCGTGAAAATTACGATTAATAAAATTAAGAAAACAGGAAAAAGAAAAAAAAGAAATTGGTGTAACCTCAAAGATCTCATTTTGACGAATGACTAAATCATAATAAAGGAAACTTGACAAAATTCAAGTTATTTGCATCTAATTTTGGTCCACACTACTTTAACTAATCATATAAACCGCTTATATAAATGAAAATGTCCAGTTTTAGCGAAATCAACTATTATTAATCCTTCATTTCTCCAAATTTTTATTTTTCTATTTTTACAGACTTTATACTTCAACTAATCTCACAAAATTCGTAAAACTTATTTTGAAAGAACTGATAGGGATTAAAAAGAAGTCACTTAAAAAAGTATTGATTGTATTAAAACTGATATGAAACAATCACAGAATACGATGAAAAAGATATTTGAGCAAATTAACTTTGATAGCATTAATGCTAAGTAATTTCAAATCAACCCGTTCATTGTTATGATCAAAGAAATGATCGAAATTGCCATAATATTTGTTAAACTTCCTTTATTTATCAATCCTGAAATAAATACTTTAAAGTAATGCTTTAAAAAAGGATATAAGTTTAATACAATAATTTTGTTTACCGATAATATAAATTTTTTTGCTGTTACTGCAATTTGCTTTCCTCGCATAGTAATGATATTCATAATTAGCATATTTTTATTTCATAAAACATTGAACATGAAAAAATTAAAAACGTATTATCAAAAATATTTTTTAGCATCAAATTGTGAAACAGATTCAAAAATTTGGACAATTCAACTGATCATCTTTATCTATAATTTTCCTCGTGTTTCTAGTTGAAAATATCGATTTATTCTTCAAATTTCAATTTTCAAAAATTAAAATTTAGATATGTTGAGAGCAAAAGAAATGGATATTATTGTATGTCCATTCAGCAACATTAACTATTCATAATTTTAATGAAATATCATATATGTTAAAATAATCAAGGCCTACAATTAACAATATAATTGTACTATCCAAAATAGTTTTTGGCAAACCTAATATTGTAAGTCATTTATATGTCAGTATTCTGTATATAATTTTAAAATTAAATTGAAGTAGACAAAATGAAACGCTAACATTTCAAAAAAGGGAAAAATTTTTGTCCCACGAGTTTAACAAGAGAAGAAGCGATATTTCGAAAGTTAAAAGATTATTTACTGTCAAGCAATCAAACACTATTTTATTTAAAAAAATAACAATAAATCTGTTAGATCAATAATCTGATAGATTGTAAAAGTTGTAGAAACTAAGAAATTGTTTGGAACTATTGAAAAAAACTGGTTAAAATTTTCATGAAATATTGATTGGAACTTATCAAAGTCTGAAATGAAAAATGATGAATCATTCTGCTATTACTTCATCAAAAATTAGGAAAATTTTCTTGCTGCCATTATTGCAAAAAAACAACTTTTCAGTCTGTTAACTTTAAAAGATTTGATTTGAAAAAGCATCAAAATTCATTAAATATTAAATTAGTTACCGTCTTTTTGCCTTTGTGCGTAAAATTTCTTCGGTCCATGTTCAATCCAAATTTCCGAATTTCCATTGCACAGATCGCCGTTACATAAGCAGTAATGACCATCTAACTGAAAGTGACCACCTCGACCGCGCAATGTGATAGGCCGATCAAAACATCCCATCCCACCATCGAAAAGTCCAACTGAACAGCCTTGTGCCATTGCTGCAAAGCACAAAGATTTTCAAAGTATTCAATTGAATACAAACTTCAAACTAATTTTAATACAAATTACTAAATTTTGTTAACTTTCAGCAACATTAATTTCAATTTTATATCAATAAGTTCAATATTAAAGATGAAATTATCAAAAAAAAATTACATATCAGCAACCAATCATCTTTTAGGTCTTGAATTCACAATGTCAGATGTAAATAATTCCATTTACCACAGAGAAGTGCCTTCTGTGAAATATTCAGCCACTTGTTTGCACTTTCTCATTTAGAAACAGTTCATTTCCACTTTTCGTAGTACGATAAAATATTCAAAACTGCTCTCATGAAAGAATGAAATTTTGCGTAAATTAATTAAATGATCTTAATGAGAAAGAATGATAGTACCAAAAAGTTGCCCTGTTCCATCCATTTTACTAATTCCACTAATTTGAAAAATATAGCATAAACCATTGCAACTTCGATTTTGTGGACTCTCACACGGATGATCATCGATCAGTGTGCCAGTATGAGAATTCATTATTCGATAATTTACAAATTTATTCCAATTCTATAATATTTCAGTATTAAAAATGCTTTTTGAAATTGAATAATATGTGAACTAAATGTTTAGTTTTAAATGATAAATTTTTAAATTTGCAAACTTTTCCAGAAATAAATTTTAAAAAATTATATTAAAATTTTACATTAACAGCATGCTTTGTAGCACATGACATGCAAATAATGGAAGCAGAAATGAGTATTGAAAATGATAATAATAGCCAAATAGAAATCAATGTCAATATTGTTGCATTCATTCTTGCCAAACTAATTCTCAAATAAAATGCTGTTTTTCTGCAATTGAATATTTTACGTTATTATGTGGTACAATTTCACGTAATCTTTTAAGTAAGGAATCGAAAGAAATATCGAAATGGGAATTCATTTTATTTACTCCTTTAAATAAGGAGTTTAAAGAATGTTTCAGTTAGAAAATTCAGTAAATTTTTCAGTGCAAAATTGTATTTAATTGTATTTAATTTATACCTGTATTTAATTAGTCAAAAAATTACTGCAAAATTAAACAATAATAAAAAATTTAAAAATCTCAAATATTTTAAAAAAGAATGTAAAATTTTTTGCTAATTACTTCAATAAATTATTCAAGCATTTTTTAAATGGAAAATTTGGAATAAAAAATCTATTGATAGTTTGATATAATTAAATCTGTTACTGGAAAATGTTTAGGATTGCTTCAAGCATTGCAAGGAAGTGAAATTTCTCTTTTTTACTACACAGTTACATCCTAATGACTATATACCGAGCTATCTAATTTCAATACTAATTGTTGAAATTAGATAGCTCATTGCCAGGGGCAATTAGTTAACTAATTGCCAGGAGAAATCTTTTGAGAAAAATAAATTAAACACATAAAACTAATTTTCACAATTATTGCTGTTGTTGGATAGAAAAATTTTAATTGAATTTAATAGTGATTCAAGCTGCAAAAGATATGATAAGGAATCAGTTTTTATGGAATTATATTACTTTTCGAAAATACTACGATCATTGCAAATTGAATACTTCTTTTCAACATTTCAGCTAATAATAGATCATAAATTTTTTTGAGATAGACGGTTGTTATCAGCTTCTTGTACTGATGAAGTGCCCAGTCATGACCCTGATTCTGGGGTAGGGCCGCGATTTTCGAATTATTCAATTTAAATCATTATCTGCCCAATTTACCCACAATTCTATTGTATTAGCTGTAAGTAATCGATAAAAAATAGTGGTTCACTTCCAACTTGTAGGATTATATCCTATCAAATCTTCAAAAATATCAAAATTTACAATTTGCAGTTTAAAGAAAACTAATAAATTTTTTGATAAAAGATTTATGTAAATGAAAATATTAAGAAACATTTGCATATACGCAATAAAATAAGTGCTTTTTTAAAAATGCGTGTTAAGTCAAAATTAATGAATTTTCAAGAAATTCAAAGAAAAATGTAGGCCATGGCGAGGAATGAAGCGATAAAGAATTACACTGAAAAATAACTTTTTGATGACGTTAACAAAATTACATGTATCTAATTGAACATGTATTTTGAAAAATCTATTTGATGATTTAATTTGGAAATTCTCGAAATGAACAGAAAAATTTTGAACAAAATTAAAAGAATCATATCGATCTGTTTTCAAGTATAACAGCAGAAGAGATGAAAAAAAGCACATGAAAATGATGCGGTTAATGTATTCATCGAATTTTCCGGCGATAAGCAGGGAGCGTGAAGTCATCAAAGAGATCCACGGAGCTGATAATAACCGTGAGCCGATGGGGAGTGCGTCAGATAGATCTGCTGCCTATTTCTCGTTCATTTCGGAACACACCGGTTGCACCTTACTTTCTAGATAGTTTTTAATTAATCCTACTAAATTGCATAAAATAAGATCATTTTTATCAAAATTTCATTTTTCATTTCTTTTTAAAGATCATGTAATAAAAAATAGGGATCAATAAATGTTTTCTATTGTTTGATTTTAATCAGCCTAGCAAACAAATGACTTTTTTCAGCGAGAAGCCAGAAAAAAGTGCCTTATTTTATAATTTATATATAAAATTAGCTATGCCTCGGCGGCTCGGAAAAGCATAAATTTCTCAGAGTTACTCTCATATTGCGAATTGCTAGAAGATAATAGATATTAAAAGGAGTGATAAGTGCATATCTTTGATATCTTTGAATAAACAAATCATCCATGGACAGTATTCTGACATTTTAATATTCTGACATTTCAAATATAGTTTAATATTTAATAGCATGGAATTATCATGTGATAATAGGGAAAAAACGCTAGAAGATTTTATTGAATGATTGAGAGAAATTAAGCAAGAAAAAGAGTACGATTAATTAATCTTGGAAATATACCGTCAATCTTATGCCAGATAGGAAAAAAAGCAATTCATGAACTATGAAAAAAAACATGCACTAGTGCTAATCAAGCATACTAATTGTGAATTCGATTGTCACTTCATTTTAAGAGAGATTCCACGGAGTAAACATCACTTCATCTCAAGAAATATCATAAAGAATAATTGAAATTAATTTGAAGTACTTTCACATAAATAACTATATTGCTAATTGACGTGTGAGAATAAATGCAGTTATTCATGCTAGCCTGATGAGAGCAGCAGCCAGTGGACAAGCTCATCATATATGGCCCATTCCTTTTCCGTTCTCAAAGTACGAGTTCAAGACGGAGACATGGACTATTTCACAGAGAGACACATCCTGTCGTAAAGAATGTGTTCGGTCGAGAATTCCTGAGCGGGGAAGGTCGCATTAGGAGGAGAAGGTTGAGGAAGGATTGATTGTACTAATAAAGGTACATGCTGTGGAGGCTTCAAAGGGCTTAAGAAATCATCTTCTGCTGAGTACGGAGATTTTGAGGTAGGAGAATGACATGACTGATGAGATAGTGAGAGACATTGATTGATAAGATTTGCTGGTTATCATCTGGGAAAACATTGAGGATGGTTTTCAGGATTGTTAGATATTTATGCGAGTTTTACGTTTTTTTGACGAAATTATAAAAATTATTTGTTCTGAATGAAGATAGGTTAAGTGCTCAGTAATGCATTGATTCTACAAGAAATGTATGGAATCAGTATTTACCGTTCATGGTCAGGTATCATTCATATCCAACTTCATTTTCAGTGTATGCTATGCGTTGCGGTTGAAAGATGTTGTTGGTATGTGCTGCTCGATATTCAAAAATTTTGCGACCTATAGGAAAACTTGCATCTTTTCGTCACACATCTTTAATATTGCCATCTAATGGTTCCTTAAGGACAAAATGGTTGTCGGGAAAGGTTAGTGCTTCTGATAAAACTCAGTTTATATTCGGATTTTTATGCAGATGTGTGCAAACAGTTCTGAAACACTGTTGCTTCTTTTAGGAAGCAGAGGGCCCAGAAATAGCAGTTGGTTTGAGAAGCGGAGCAGACGATGATCCGATTACAAATACGATGGATGAACCATATCTTGGTGAACCGGATGATCCACCAGTACACATGTATGGAATTGTACAGAAATTACTAAAGCTTCTAAGCTTTTTCCTATGATTCTTAATTTTGTTTTGAATGTGTTGATGTATTTTGTACTTTCATTTTTATTAAAAAAACTGGATTGCGGTTGTTGTATACATATTAATTTCTTAATATCTATTGCTCAAATGCCAATTTTTACTGCTCTTTTAGCATGTTAATGTTGTAGATTAACCGTTAACTGTTTATTAACTTTATTATAGGTGGTATTATCGAGAAGCACCACCTCAAAGTACTATGCGATTGGAAAACGTTATGCTTACTTTAACAAGTGCATTAATGTGGGGCTGGTTTGTATATCATTTGTATTACAACTATGGTGAACTAATTGTTAGTTTAATTCTTTTAATATAGATTTCACATAAATTATTTTGAGATCTTTTTCTTTATCAGTATTTCTAAACAATATTTCCTGAGAAAATTGGTTCAGAACGGTCAAAAGGGAGTTCAGTATTGTTTTTAGCTTTTTTTCATATTTCTTTGACCCTGAAGTAGAACTCGTCTTCCTAGCTATCTTTCAATAAAATATCAAAAAAAAGTCACAGCGAATTTTTTATATATTAAGTTCACTCTAGCGATCGGGAATGCTGATAAAATTGATAAATGAAATTCGAATTATTTAGGAGGTGCGATTTCTGAGCTTACTGAAAATGATTTTTAAATCTTTTGATTTTAACTTCCAAAAAAGTTAAATTTTATTTAAAAAATGCAGGCATACCGTGTTATAGGGTGAATATTATGTTCCTGCTCCAGAAGAATTTTCGGATGAAGAGCTTGGAATCCCACCAGACGATGCCCCAGACCCAGAATACTGGGGTGATCATCCATTGTCTAGAGGCATGTAGTAAAAAGCTTGTGTTGTAAAAAAGTACTTTTGTACGCAATTTTGTTAATAATTCAAGATTTTCTTGATAATTTTTTAAGCATTGGTTGCTGTTCTTACAATAAATAGCTTTTATTTTCTATTCATTAAAATTTATCTTACTAGTTTGATGCTACAATCTCAGAAATGTGTTAGGAATGCTAGTGATTCACTGGCGCTTTCCAGACTTCTGGAAATTAAATGTGATATTTTTTTTTATTCAAGTGAACTAATATAGTTTTATTGTTCGGACTAAAGACTGGATTACACATAAATATATTATTGGCTCGGACTTTGATATAACATCAATCCAAATTACAATCAAATGATTTTGCATGAAGTTTAATATGAGCAACCGGTTGACTGGTACAGGCTTTTTGTCTGAGACAACTTCTGAATTAACGAGCAGAACGTGGAAGCATAATAAGTGAATCGGCTTGAAGTAGGGCTTTGTTCGATTTGGGGAAAAGATTAGAACTTTAGCTAGCTGCTTTCGTAACACTCATTTGTAATCGTTTTTCAAATAAACAGCTAGCATAAAAAAATGAATTTCAAAAATCGTGACCCACTGTTGATAAGTTCTCATGTCCGCAGACTAGTAGTTGATTTTGATTCCTTATTTGTTAAGGCTTCACTTCACTGCTGCTATAGGATATGGAGACATACAGGTAGAAGGGATTTCCTTCTTTTAACGCTTTATGATGTTAGTAAAATGTTCGCAAACTGGACGTTGATATCTGTCTTAAAAATTACATCGCTTCATAAGATGCTGTTTTTTTTTCGGGATGGCATGTTAGCCGCTTTCTAATTTAATAATAATTCTCAAATTTGTATAAACGACTAAGAAAATTACGATGAATTTAGCAAATGAAAGCATAACAAAAATCGTCCTTTTCACTAAAATCAATCGATGGTTTTTTATACTGATCGATATATGATGTAAGTAGACATTTGCAATCAAGATTCCAGATTATCCAACTTATATTCAGCTCAGAGTTTAACTAGAAATACTGAGAGTTTTGAGTTTTAAGTTTCAAATGTGTCCTTTGCAAAATACTTATCTTTTATGTAGTTTAGATAATTATAAATACATATTCGATTTATGGAGTCTAAAGAAATAAAACATCTTTGGCATTATGAATGATGAATTAATAACATGAAGTGAGTATTTCGATGTTCAATATATCAAATAAAAGTTTTAAAGCATCACTATCATTTTAGAAGCTAATTGTAATAGACGTAATGTTACGTTCTAGATTTACATATTAATTGTTTACTTTATGATACTTTTATTCATTTTGTCACAGCATTCTTTTTCAGTATGATATTAATCATTTTGAATGATCACAAAATTTAATGACATTAAATTACCGTTCTTCAGTTGATGTACTTTAAATTTTTATATCCCGAACTTCTAGCACAACAGAGTTATTTTTAACACTTCGGATGAATTCATTCAGGAATAGATTAAATTATCATTCATTAATCAATTACATATGTTGCTTGTTACACAAAATGATTTTACTCTCCATAGTTTTTGATTTCTTCCTTAGTGGTCACTTTTTTGTGGTTCTCAAACGACACTATTTGTCGTTAAATAGGATCGACAAAAATATTGCATCATTGTTTGCCTAAAGCAATTACAACATTATTAAGCTGGAGGTCCCCTAAATTTTAAACTTTGTAATTGGTGCTTTATGACTATGGCAATGGATTATTTTTTTTATTTTCATTATTATTTCTATCTCAATTCATACTTTACCACATTTATTCAACAGAAATATGTCAATATCAGATCATATTATAGAATGTATCAATATTTGACCTTTACATTATTTATGCAGATTCAAACTAAATACTATTTCTGTACAACTGAAGCGATAAGTGTATTAAACTGCCGTCAAAGAAAAATAGTTGCTTATTTTGAACAATCGAATATAAATTGGCGAAGTGTTAACTTCTAATGAATTTTAAGCTAACAAGTTAAACAATTTAAAAATTTCAAAAAAAAATTATTATCCAGCAAGTTTTATATTGAACTATTTTTATCATATTTTTTTAGTGATGGAAATTTAATGTTTGAATAAAAGATATATTTTTATTATATTTCATTAATAAAAATTTGATGTTTAAAGTAACGCAATTAAATCTGTTTCATTATCAAAATAATAGTGATCAATTTCGTTTCCTGAAAGTTGCAGTATTATTCATTCGTTGAACATTTTTAGTTCCCAATTGCAGTTCTAAAATCTTTTAGCGAGAAAAGAGATCAATTAATTTGGATGAATGATTGGAATAATACATCAACGATTCATCAGATTAAATAAAGAAATCAGGTTCCTTTTCATTCAACAATCTTTTCATCTTATAAGTCAAGATTTTAGAATTTTTGCCAACCATTTCAAGTTCTCTTTTTCTTTTACTACCAATGATGAAATGCGGAAAAATATGTAAAAATATTTTAGAAGATTTTAGATTCTTCTATCCCACTGGAAGATGACATTATTTGGGCCACTAATTTAAAAGACGTCATCTGTTTGCATATCATTCATGAATAGTAAGTAGCATTTAAAAATAATTTTTAACTATTTATATATGATAGCTCATTTGTTACAAAGAGAAACTCAGTTTTCAATTTTTCCTTATTTCCATGATTTATGATTAAAAAGAAAAAATTTTTATCATGTCATTATCATTCATACATATCCCTTCCTCTTTTTTCCTTCCTAATTGTTTCGTTCATATCAACAAATTGCATTTCTGCGGAAAAGAAAGGGAATAATGAAAGTATTACATTATCATATGGGTAATAATTCGTTCATCTCATTCGCCTTACATTACTCCTCCTCATTATACAATTTTGCTGGAAGATCTCTTCATTCTCCTTTACTCCGTCAATTTCCTTTATTGATGATAACAAAAGAAGGATGAAATATTATTTCATTTTAAAGAAGATTGAATATAAATAAATGAAAAGGAAAGATCGTCGATATTCATCAATGAAAGGCTCGTTTGTATAAAAATTATTTCATTTCTTCCAAGCCTTTTTTTTATTTCAAACTATGGCCTCAATTTTTTTTTCATTCTTATTCATTTCGTCATCTGTGAAGAAGAGGAAAAATTGTGGTATTATTTATTGCTTCTTTGATAATCTATTTTAATGGTGCAAGGCATAATTATATTAATAATTATATGCAACTATTACATCGTTGCCGCGTGAAAAATTTTATTGTTAATATTTTCCTTACGACGATGATGAATTTACTTATACGAGGAGTTGTCATCATTGTTTCCAAATAATTTTCTTACATTTTATAGCCAGTAAAATTAGCAAAACTTGAAAGATTATGATGATGAACTTTTTTATGATAAGAAATGGCTTTTTTTTCTGCTTTTGTATTACATCTTTACATTTACAATGTTCCTATTTTGCGCATGCTTTTTTTAAATAGAACATTTCAAAGTAAATTTTATCATCAGCAATGATGCTAACTGATCGAATCAGTGTATTAGAATAAATTTTCATTTGCTTTCAACTTTGACATTTAATGGCGTAAATGTGATGTGTGACATAGAACAAACATTCTTTTATATATTTATTGGAATGATCGTTTTCTGTGGCCTACATCATAAAATATCGTTGTCCAAATGACTTAATTCATAATAAAACAACGGCAGACTTAATGTTAACCGTAACGAGAAACTGATGACCAAATGAAATGATTATTATTTAAATTTCATGATATGAAAAATGTAATTACATATTATAATAAATTAAAAATTACCAATAGTAATTTCAGCAATGCGCATTTAATCACTGCCCTATTTTCGCCAAGACCGTAATGATGACGACTGTATTGAATGAGATAAATGTCCTCGAATGCCGGAACATCTCGAATATTCGTACAATTATACCATCTAAGTGGTATATTAATTTTTTTAAGGAAGAGAATATAAATAGAAATTGATAAATAATATCTCACTGAACGTGAAAAAACCGTTGAGGATGTACCGCTTTTAGTTAAATTCTCCTATCGAATACTGGAAAACCTCCGGGAAAATTTCTCTGACGAAAAGTGTTAGGAAGAAATGTAAAGCAAGACAATTCGTTTGGTTCGCGAATGAATTTTTAGGAAAAACCCATACATAAATGCACCTGTAAAAAAAGCTTTCGTGACCATTCTTAAAGTGAAGTCCTCCTGCAACAATATCATCGATGTGGATTTTTGAACAAGAAACTTGAATTAATTTTACAGGTACAATCGTACATCTTCGAAAGTTACAGCACAATTTCTCAAAGAAATTTCGATAATTGTTCAATCCGGTGAGATACACGGTATTGTCGGAAATGCCGGTATGACTTATTCAATTAATTTATTAATTAATTAATTTTGATATTATGCTTTTGATGTTGGAATTTGAAAGGGAAAATTCAAAATTTTTGAACTAAATCGAAGGATTTTTAGATCTTTTGATCGATGGCAACTTTAAAAAAAGCACATTAAAATTTAAAAAAAATTGTAGCATTTTTCTAGCTCAATCATCCCGAACTTCCTACAAAGAATAACTGTTATAATGATGTAAAAACAATGAATATGATACATTCCCGAATGTCGTATTATGCAGTTATTCATTATTTATGGACCGAGATATGCATGATCGACGAAATTATTGCTTGAAGACATTTAAAAAAAATGAGGGAAAAAAACCTGAAAAAATCTCATAAGAAGCAATTAGATTGGAAAGGAAGAGAAAGGGAATAAAAATTCATTAACTAATAAATTTTAATACCAAATTTCATATAAAATGAATTAATCATAAGAAAATGATTAACTTTTCACCGATTATAAGTAAGCATTCGTAGGCAGCGGTAAAACGACGTTATTGCGAATAATTGCTGGAAGGTATAGTGGAAAATTTACAGGAACAATAACGCTCAATCAACAAGAGTTTACGCGTAAGTTATTTAATTTTGGCTCATTGGAAATGCTTACTTTATAATTCTAAGTGCCTAATCATATACGGATATCACTTTTATCAATATAATTATAACAATATTAACTAAAAGTATTTTATAATTAAAACATTCATTTCTTTGATCATATTCATGTGATAATTATCATTGAAATCTTTTACAAAGCAAACTTTTTGAAATGAAAAGACAACAGCTCTTTAGGTCAAATGTTTGATTCCATTTGTGCATTCGTAAATTTCAACCAGAAGCTAATTGAAACGATAACCGTCCATTCTATGCTCAAATTTCAAGCTGCTTTAATGGTTCGCGGTTTGAATAATCAAGAAATAAAGGAACGAGTAAGGTTTTTATAAGTTTAAATAATTTAAAAGAAAACTATTTGTCGAAAATTTTCAAGTTATAAGACGACAATGCTTTGAGTTTTTCAGATAAATTCACTTCTTAGAGAGTTCGATCTTGTAGTTTATCACGACATTCTGATTGGTGATTTAAATGAGGCAGCAAGAAGACGTTTGTTACTGTGTATGCGTCTGATCAATGATCCAAGTAAGTTACTTTAAATTGCAATTGTTTCCTTTTTTTCACTTCTTTAATTTAACAAAAATTTTGTCTTCTTTAAATTTTATATAAAATTCTAAACTTTAAAAGTCATTATTAGTTTAATCTTTTTACAATTACTTACATTCATTATTTTGATATTTTATTTTGTTCAATTTTCTCATTTAATTCACTGGTTTGATCGTTCAATTTTTTCCATTTCAATTAAAAATTAAAATTTAGTTTTAATCATTCTGGATGAACCATCAGATGGTATAAATGCACTCTGCAACTATCAATTAATGAACTCACTGAGCTTATACATTAGAAGGACTGGAGCAATGGTTATCGTGGCAGTACGTCTTCCACGATCTAATCTTTATCAGTTATTCGATCGCATTACTATTTTATTTTATGGAGAAATCATTTATTCTGGTATATGTATTAATAAGTTAAAATAATCATGAAAATTGTTATAATAAATTGAGAATATGAAGGAAAATTGATTTTAATATGAAATAGACTATTGCATTTTACATATTTTATTAATGCAATTAATAGTAGTCATTAAAAAGGTCAATTAAATCAATTAAATAAAGCATTTTCGACAAAATTCAAAAGACGATTTACAGGTATAATAATTAGATTTATTTGAATACTAGAAAGATACAACTATTTCACTTCTAAAATCGTTGCTAATAATTTTATCTTTTAATATAAAATATATCAAAATTCTTTTTTTGTTCGAAATTATGCATAATTTTTCAGGTACTACCAAGGAATTACCATTATATTTCCGTCAAATAGGTTTTCCATGTCCAATAAACGAAAATCCTGCTATTTATTATTGTATGATGATTTCTGACAATTAATTGATTTTCCTATTATGTTATTTATTACTTTCTATATTCATTTGATAAATTGAAAATTTTTCAGTATCTCTTGCAACAACTGATCGTGAAACAACGGAAAGATATCGCAAAACACAGGAACAAGCTTTGAAGTTAATTGATCTTTTCAAGGTGCCATATAATTTATTATTCTATTTTCAGGTTATTATTTGATTTGTTGAACTTTTATGTCTTATTATTTATTTTCAACTAAATTAATAATTTGGTTAAATTAATAAACAATTAATGAAGACTATTTTATAGAGCAGTGTTGATTTGCAATTGCATCAGTCAGCACCACAAATATTTCATCATCCTATCCGATCAACGAAACCTTTATGTTTCCATGGTAGACCACATTGCTGTTACCAATTCTTCATTTTATTTAGGTTCTTTCTAAATTCCATTATCAACAGGTCGTCATTCAAAATTACTATTATCATTTATTATAGCACGATCATTCCATTTAAATGTTATGATACCACTGATATTTACATAAATTCACATTTCACGAGCTTATTCAAAAAAAAAGTACAGCGAGTTTTCTTCAAAAAATATAAGCACAACAAATAATTCATACTGTCAACATCATATACTTTTCGTTTACATATATGCATGTTTAAAATTTCACATTTTTCAAAGAATAAAATTTCAAATTTAAGAAATCAGTTTAAAAAATGTAATTCGACCGCCTAAGTAGGCAATATGTCTGATAAAATTTTCATCTTCTTATCTCTAAAACAATGTCAAATTCAGGAATAAAATATTTATTATTATCAATTTTTAGACGATCGCTTCAAGCACTTAATTCATCAGCACATATTTTACTGCTACGGCTATTACTATTACCATTACTTACACTACTGATATGTTCCTGTTCTGTTCCATTTTTAACTTCCAATAAATGGTGGTCACCACAGGATAGAGCTGCCTTGTTGGTCATCTATTCTACCTTATTTTCAATTGTTTCCATTTTTATAACTGTTCTTAATGGTAAGTATTCGCTTAGGAAAAATTCAAGAGAATAAATTACAATTACGGAATGAAAATTCTCATTTCTTAAGATTATTCATATAACAAATATTATTCGGTGATGGTTTTTTCCATAATTAAATAGATTATTATTTTATTATTTAGTGATTGAAAAGCAATAATTTGAAATTTTTAACGATAACATATTTTTTGAAGTTTGTTCAAAATCTAGCATAATTTTTTTTTGTAAAAGCAGCAATTTTAGCATGTGAAAAATGGAAGTTAAATCTTAATTTGAAAATATTTGATTGGGATTTTCACTTGCATATATTTAAATGTGCTGCAGAATCGATAGTTTGTGGTCAGTCGCAACAAGATGTGATGGATGGCATATATTCGAGAATTCTAAATGTGCTTTCATTTTCACTTGCATCTGCACCAAGTGATCTCTTCGCTTTTACTTCATCAATTATTATTATTATTATTTGGTTAGTAAATGATACAATAAAACTTATTTTTCAATTTAGCATACTGAACTTAATTTATAATTAAAAATTTTCCTGTATTTGTGTACTCAGTGTTCATGAGTGGTAAGTAACTGACTTTAGAAATTGCATGCTTTAGAAAAAAAAAAACGAAATGACTATTAGCATTTGATTCCAATAACAAAGTTAATTTGACAGGTGAATTATCTTAATTTAGTTCATATTAGTGCTATCCTGAATGATGAATATCTTTCAATTACAGGCATTTCTATTCGGTATTCTCTGCGAATTGGAATTATATCTGGAATTTAATATTACCCTTATGGTGTTGCTATCAGTATTATCAAATTCTTGTATTGATTGTAATATTCTATACAAAAAATACCGAATCTACCGTTATATTCTTAATTGAACTCTGTTTCGGATCCATTGTTTGCGCCGGATCTTTTTTCATGTTCGTTTCCAAAATTTATCAAATAAAATTATTTCTTTTCTAGGATAATCGAGATAACAATTAGCAGATAGCAAATAGGATATGTAGAAAATAAGCTAATTTCAGTTTTACTTTCATCTTTTTGTTTCACCATCTAAATTAAGATTATTCCTTTTTTTAGTGCGCCACGTACATTTTTATCAGCAAACGATTGGCGGCATATATTGATGTATATTAATTTTCATCGATATGTACTTTCATTTACAAATTTCAAATTTATTGGTGGAGCCAAAGCAGGAAATTGTATTCTTAATGAGACTGAAGAGATTAACAGTAAATCGGTGGAACAATTTTGCAGGTTAGGAGTATTTTTTGTATATCTTACGTGATGTGATGTCATCTGCATAATTATAGTTTTCCAGATGGACCAATGGTACTATGTTTCTAAATGATCACTATCCCGAGATATGGTATTATTCCATGGAAACATTTAATTATTATTTCATCATCATATTTGTTATTCTTATTGCAACTATTGCCTTATTGTCTTTCAAATTTTATAAATGTTAATAACTTGATTATGGAATAATGTAATGATTAGCTGATATAATTTACACAGTTGTCGATTAAATATGATAAGAAAATAATAGTTTGAAAAAAAGTTTGAAAGATAAAATAGACTACCAATTTAAACAGATCAATTTCATATTTTAAGTACTGTTTTTTGCTAAATTATTCAAATTACTGCAATAGGACGGGACGGACTTGTAGCTTTTTGGAACATCGGTGCAAGAATAACTTTATCATGAAATAAGTAAATGATACGATTGATATCATTCCTTACATTATTTTATATCAAAGTATACGATATTCCTTTCTTTCTGATATCATAATTATACAACAATTTCTTAATTTCATATCACAGAAACTTTTTCTTTTTTCCAGAACGTTGTGTAAAGTAAAGTAGGAAAATAAGACGAAAGTGAAAATAAAAGTTAAAAAAAATACAATTAATGATGTTAAGAAAAAGGAAAAAAAATGATGAAAGAGAAATGTGAACCAAAGAACTGTATTTGGGCAGGCTTTATTGGGTGTAATTATTGCATGTATGCAATTAATATTTATTTAGAATATAGTGATAAACTGGGATACTATCACTGACCAAGTCTAATTCAAGTTCATTTAGATTCAGCATAAAGCTCAGGCTTAGCTAGTAGTAACTTCCTCATAAAATAAGTCTCAAATATAAAATGTAACAATTTTGAAAGCAATGGCAGCATTTTATTCACTTTCCGTTTCTTTTTTTATATATCCGATTTTGTTGCAGTAATTGATATGATATGAAATGGCATTAATTATTTTTATTTTCCATTTTCTCATTTATTTATTGGTGTAAAGAAAGGGAGATGTTTTTTTGACCTTAATTAACAATTTTGATAAATTCGAATTTACAAAGTCACTTCAATGTTAACTTTATTACAGGAATTGATGTAACAGAGATTTGATGTGCAATATCTTATTTGAGAATAGAAACTTACAGTTTTTCAAATTACATGTTTCATAACACTTAGGGACATAAATGCATGTTGCGGGGAGAGAATTAGTAAATTTCATCTATCATTCGTTCAACCACCGCCCCAATCAAACTGGTTTCTCTCATTCCGGCTCCTTGCATATAAAAATATATATGTGAGTCTATCGTCTACGTCAAACAGCTGATTGAAGCATTTAGATGCAAATATTGGCAACAAAAATTAAACTGAAGAATGGGAACGATAATTTTACGAGAACGAACTGCTTGCTTAATTGCTGTCTCTGAAATTTCCACTCTTTCTTCTCTCCTTCTCTCTCTCTCTTCCTTTTTTTCTCTCCCTCTCTCCCTCTCTCTTATTTGATGCAGCACATTGAGCGATATTTGCTAAACCTGCTCTGTTTATTGTCTCTTTGATTATATATGGAAAGAAGGTACTTCATACTGTTTATCATTTTGTTGTTTTTTTGTCAAATATTTCCTTTATTGATAAATTGCAATTAAAAGAGCTCTTTAAAAAGTCATAGCGAATTTTTCAAGTGTATCGTTCAAATTTATATTTTTACAGTTTTTGAATTTTTCACATTCGTATATGGATATTACAATTGTATTTTGAGAGATAATTTATTCTGTTATTTTGCTGAAAAAAGTTATTTCAATCATTGTCTTTTTCAGTAATCTAAGTTACAGAATTAGTGGAAAAATTTGGCGTAAAAAAAGTTCAATCAATTTATTTTAAAAAGTTAAAAACCGTTGAAAATTTTGATTAATTGAAATTTTTTTGATTTTTTTTTAAATTAATTTAAGCATATATCATTGCAGCTTGTTGACGATGAAATTTATAAAAAGGGATATGATCACTTAAAATCTAAATAGATTGAACAAACATATCGTTCCTTTCTTTAATATTCTACAAGCACAATCTAACTATAATGTCAACTTGTTTATGCCACTTTGTTAAATCATTCATATGAAATTTGCTGTAGATGACCATTCAGATGGCCATTCTTTCACATAATATTGCGGTAACGTTTCATGGGTTTCATTTACTTCTCTCTCTGTTGGTGGAAATATCAAACAGTATATTTCATTTGTTGAGTGTTTATCAATGTGAATTATAAAACCATTACCATACATTCTTGTTTGTTTACTTTTTCAAGCATTAAATTACATTTCATAATATTACGACAATTTGAAATCATTTTAACACTGAAATAATTTTATGGGTAGTATTTGCACAATTTGATATTTTTCAATGAACTAAATAATTTAAAAGAGTAAAGCAGAATTGAGCAAGAGATACATTTCAGATTTTGATAACTGTCAAAGTTTATAATTTGAAATTAATTAAATGCGCATGCACGGTTAAGTGATATCCAAACGATAGAATCATGAAAATTTGCTAGCGAACAAATCTTCACCATTTAAATTTGATGAATACATAAAATATGTATTAATTTGTTGAAACTGTTTGTTCAATTCCTTTTTTTGTTGTAGGAACGAAATTTGTATTTACGAATTATTTTGTATTTTTTGCTCATATGCTTTTATAAATCAATCATCAAACAGTCGCACATAAAAAATGAAGTTTCATATGCGTCGAAATGGTACAGATTTGGTATATGGAACCGTATCCATGCGGAGATCCACGACTACCGCATCATTTATTTCCACCTAAAAAAATCACTCCCGATGAATTGATAAAGCGAACTGGGACACTTTACTTCAAGATAATTTTTAAATTTTTATTTTTAATTTTGATAATTTTCGCAGTAACACGTATTCTCTCTATTATCATTTGTTAAAGTTATAACATTTCATTTTATTCATTAAATGAATATTATTTTTTTACCTTTATAAAATAGTTAATTAGGACGAATTATGATGTAATTTTGATTGGTTTTGAATTATTTTTAGCAAATTTAAATCAACTGGCTTCGTGAAAAATTTAAAAAATAATTAACTAAGCAACTCTAAAAATTAATTAATTTATCATAAACTTGATGAATTACATTTTTATTTGAAGGTTGACATAACAGATCAGGTGTCAATGTCAAAGCGAATTGCTTTACTTAAAAAGGGAAGGAAATTAACAAAAGAGGACGTCTATACGTTGAATGCTCGAATAACAGTTGATTTCGAAGATAAGGTTTACAAATAATTTGCAATAATTAAAAAAATATTTAGTGGCGGGACGAAGTGATAATGTTTTTTTTTTTAAGATTTGGTTGAAATAAAATATTTCGTTCATAAATTTAAATTTCAATGGAAATTTTTTTGTATGTAACTTAAAAAAAATTTTTATTTTAACTTGCATTTCAAAATAATAAATTTATTCTATGATAGCTAATTGCACTGCAAATCATACATTGGAAGTTATAAAATGTAACTTTGACAAGATATCATTTCTGAATTTGATATTCAATGTATAGATTGAAGAGCTATTTGAAGAAACTGAACTAAGCAGTGAAATAGCTATACTTATCATCGAAGGTTCCGCATACTATGATGTCGAAGATAATTGCGGTAATTGGCTAAGGATTTTATGTGAATACGGCGATTTATTGATTATCCCAGCCGGGAAACTTTACAGGTTTACAACAACGACCGAGGTACAGTATATTTTTTATATATTTTTTTATTTTCTACTTTTATCTTTTCATGGTCATCTATCCTTTACCTATCCTATTGTTTAATGAATCGAAAGCTTGATTCTTTAATAAATGTTGAAAAATATATAGTTAAATTAGGATGCTAGGTTTTTTTAAATTCAAATACTAATTAATAACATTATTCTGTCCAGTAATTTCAATAGTCTATTTGCCTCAAATAGTGAATTAATTTAAATACAATAAAATGGATTTGAAAAGAGTGAAAAAATCCGAAAATAGGAATAAGCAAAATCATCAGTAAAGTTATTTTACTTTCTTTTTCACATTTTCAGAATTTCGTCAAAATGCGCCGCTTTTTCAAAGCTGACAAACATTAAACGAATTATTTAGTTCAAATTTTCATTTGTGATTAATTACATGTAGTGCAAAATTCATCTTTCAACATTCTTTACTGTTGTTACTCAAAAATTTTCCATTTCTCACGTAATCTGCCATTGTCATTAACAAAATACTTTCGGAATATGCAGTGGATGGTATGTAAATTCAAGAGGATAATGAACAATTTTAAAATTGTACTGGCAAATGTAGACCTGTTCGAATTTTCATTTCATTGCGCTTTCATTTCTATTAACAAATGTATTAATTATATTTTCACTTATTGTCAGATGAATGATTTATATTAAACGTAATGGACTTCATTAGTAATGTTTCGCCCGAAATGATTCGCATTTATTTGAAGTTTGCTTGAAGTAAAAAGAAAAATTCGATTACCCAACTGGCCTATTTAATTAGAAAAAGAAAAAGCAAATGTTTCAATGAACACGATGAAATGTATCATTTGTACATTAAAAATCAACAATTATGAAAAAAAAATATCAAGTTAATATTAATTTCGAAAAGTTAATTTTTTTTGTTCCCTTCAAAAAATCCACTTCTTACTGTAAAATTAATGGTTTTTAATAATTAAAAAAAAGTTATGAATTTTCTGGTCCAGAGTTGAAAAATCAAATAGCAAATTGAAACAGAAAAAAAAGAAAAACGAGACGGAAGGAAGAAAGTAAAAGTAATTTAAACATCACTGCCTGTCATCAGTGTATCATTCATTCTCAATATTCAATCTGTTAATATATCATGTTAACAATGTTACTGTACATCGATTTTTCTAAGCGATCATCCTTTTATACTGCTTACGTCATTTTTGCACATTAATTTAATATGCTCAAACCAGTTCTTTACAATATTTAAATTAATGACCAGTTCAAAACTAGTTACAAAATGATGAATAGCTTAGGAGTGCGAAAGATCATATATAAAGTGAGCAATAGAAATCAAAAAAGCAAAAAATAAAAAGAGATGAGAGAAATTAAAAAAAGAAAAAGCAAAAATGCTCAAAAAATATAAATGTTGTCAATAAGAAAATAAAAGAAAAATGACCTTTTTATTAGTATTTTTCATGTATCTTTAACAAACAAGTACTACGAAAAATTAGATTCTAGAAAAAAGTTTTAAAAAAATTACAAAAAATAAAAGTCGAAGTTAGGTATATGAGATTGAGAGTAGAAATGAAGTGCATTCCAGACTGAATCAAAAAATTAAAAGTTCAAACCATTTCAATTTTACGGAAACAGTACACAGAATATGGTTTTAATTTTTAACACTAATCAAAACTCTGAATTCACCAAATATTTCCAGCATCAGAAAATAGAATGCTGCTCAAAGTTTAGTACACAAAATCAGAAGCAATAGTGGACAATGGTTACAAATAAAGTTAGCATTTAAATGGATTAAATTAAATTCAACAATACGTATATACACATGGCATCTCGAGGATGAAATGTTTGATGCGAAAAATTCTAGAAAATCAATAGGAATTGGAAAAGGTAAATAAATGTTCTTTAAGATAAGGCAAGTAAATAGAATTTGTCGAAAATGTATTGTTGAAAATGTTAAGATTAAATTGAGATGATTTTTTTTGCAGGCATATTTTTCTCACTATTGTATAAATCATTTTGTTGCGGATATCAATAATGACATTTTTCTGTTCCTATTTAATTTATATTCCAATAAAAATCATAACTTTCAATTGATTTTATGATTTTTCAATTATTTTTGGATGAGACTTTTTTCTACTTTAAGCAAATTTAAAATCGAAGAATGGTATCAAATTTTTTTGTATATTAAGAGAAAATATTAAAATTTAGACTGAAATATTCGGAGAAAAGATATCACAGATTTGGAAGATAGATGAATTTTCAAATGAAAGATATTTAGGTCATTGGGAAGAAATTATTCGCAAATATTTCAAATATTATCTTCCCTTAGTTGGATATCCAAAAAAAGAAAAAATTAATTCATTTTATTAAAAATGATATTGTGCAGACATGAAACTGTAAATAACGAACAGCATAGTAAAATTGTTGGTTAAATGGAAGTGAAGTTGAATTTTGGACAGATATTTAGCAGTAAAGTAAAATCTCTACCATAATAATAAACTGTGGATATTAAGCCACAGGAATATTTGGGCTGGGAGATTTTTTTCTAACCTATGAAACGCATAAAAATCGAGTGTGAAACATAATCAACTATTTAATTTTAAAATTCATTTTAATGAAAATACTTTCTTCGATTAACTCGAGTGTTTTAAAATGCTCGATTGAAATTTCAAGATTCGAAGCAAACAAAGTTAATCATCAATTTCATCGGCAAAATCGAGCAACTTTCGTTGCCTTCAATTCTTTTCAGATAAATTGATTTGTAACAATTGACAAATTAAGTTCATATATCCGAATTGATTTTGGATGCAAGAAATATTATGAAATTCAAGAATTTTTATCTATTTCAATTAGCAAAATTTTTCATCATATTTTAGTGTTATACATACATTGGAAGGGAGCAATTGCCTATTTTTGATCCATTATTTGGCAGTTCTATTTTCGTCAAAATAATAATTAATCTGCGAATTAATTTTGATTTGAATGAGTCCTTTGCACCAAATATTTCAATGTGTCCATTATTGATCACAAAATTGATCTTCTCTCTCTCTCATCTTGTTATTTGAAAGAGAATTGTCTATCCGTTTTATTTATCTCCATCATTTAAGTCTAATAATTATTCTTTTCATCGTACCATTTATTTCTGCTAATTTAATCAAAAAAAAAAAATTTTATTAATTTACTTATTTATATATGAGTTAATTTATGAAAGTTAATTTTTGCGTCTTTTCACACATATTAAAGAGTTAACCTAATTTTTTAATTTGGCACAACAATTACTTACTGTATTACTGTGAGATATTAAATAAGGTTAGTAGATGATAAAGTGAATTAGAACGAAGTTATGAGCTGATAGTTTTAATTGGTAAGTCGATATTTTTTTTAATGCTTATATAATGGATGGATTAGACATGAAATTAATGAGCTTTGAATTGATTTAGCCAAATCTTAACAAAATTAAAATTATTTGGTAATTTTCAAGAAAATTGTGACTTTAATTTTTTCTTTTTCTCCGCACTTTGTCATTATTTTCTTTACTTACCTACTCATTCTCAGGTTAATTTGTGGTACGACAATTTCTGAATTAAAAGAAGCTAAATAATTCGGGTGACAAAAACAGAAAGGAGCAAAATTGGACCGAGAAAAAAGCCGAAATTTATTCGAAACTTTAGATTTTATACTTATTTTTTATTTCCTTTATTTATAAATTTTGAAAATTTTCATTTTTTACGAAATACTAATTATTTAATTTGAAATGCTAGGAAATATCTGCTTCATTTTATAACGCATTTCATTGATATCTTTATATTCGCTATTATGTCATTTAAAAATGTTCCTTAGCAATTCATTATTTCCTAGCATTTATTATCAAAACATAATTGTTTCTTTTAAGGAGTAAAATTTTGAAGTCATACAAATGATAGAAAGGTGTCATAATCATGAATAACAAATCCATAAAGCCGAAATATGCCAGAAAAATACAATTAGATTGCGACTTACAGTGGGTTTTATGGTTTTTTTTTTTAAAAAAAACTTAAATGATAAAATATTAAATGACAAAAATGCTTTTATTTCAATCGTCATTTACTTCATTTCAAAAAGTAAAATTTCATGAATGGAAAGACTGACAAATGTTTTAGAAGCAATTTGCCGGAAGAAAAATAGTGGCGTTGAAGGGATTACTTATTAACAGTGACTGTATTCGATTTTTTTGCCAAATTTACTGTTATATTTTGGATATATGCATATATTAAATTGGCATGAACTTGACAAATTATTTGCAAAAGTTTAATTAAAATTAAACTTAAATTTATGGCATAAATGAGTGATTTCAGAATGAAAATAGTCAGGAAAATTGGAGTATAAGCGTGACGATTTCAGAGTTAATTACCAAAATTAGAGATAATCCGCAGAATACATTTCAAATCTATTATGCTTACTACCAAAATTTTTTGAAAAATAATAGATTAAAAACGAAGCATTTTTCTTTTTAAAGAAGGTATTATCAATTGACAAAAAACAGAAAATTCTTTCAAAACTTTTCCATAATTTTTTTTTCATGCATTTTTTATCAATTGATTGATCATATTTTTTCTTCTCTTTTCTTCCTTATAATGATTGAATGGAAATGAAACCGAAGAAATACTTCTAAACCTTACAGCAATAATACTCGACAATCTAAGCATTATTCCTCCTCCAATCTGAGTATGTTCCCAAATGAGCCTCATAGCTTCAATTATTTGCGATACGCAAAAGCGGATGAATTGAGAAAAGAAGAGAAAAGGTTTGTTTTTTTTTTATAAATGCTTATTTATAAAATGATTCGTCTTTGATCTTATTTGTGGAAAATTTTTTTTTTAATAATTTTTTTTTTAAATGAAAAAATACATTTTTTACTTCCACTGAGAAAGAATTATTTGCTTCAACTTCCTCTCTCTCTCTTTTTATTATATTTCCATTCTGAAAACAAAAATCTTTGTTACAGTATACCGAACATAAGCATCAGAAACTTATGTGTTACATTAGATAAGCGAACTTTTTCCGAGAATTATCAACCTGAAGTTCCTTGCATATCACACTTTTTACATGATATCTCATTCACCTTAAAGGGTGGCAATACACTTGCACTTTTGTATACAAAGGGTGAGTTTCATTTAAAAAACTGTTACATCAAAATTTTTGTTCATTCTTCATCTTAAGACTTTATTATTTTTGAAGTGTACTTTTTGCTAAATGCAAGTATGCGTTTGTAAACAAAATTTTAAAGTTAGAAATTAATATTTAGAATCAGAAATGCGTGTTCTATTGGAACTGATGTCAAACACTATATCGCAGAAATATTTAATTAGTGGAATATTGAAAAATAATGGACATGAAATAAGTATGGACAAGTTTGGTGATCGTGTAGCATACGTCAATGCTGACGACACCTATCCTTGGCTTACAGTAGCACAAACTGTACATCTTCAAAGTTTATTTGTCGCATCCGATAGAGATACTTTCAAAAACGCCAATACGGTACGCTAATATCTTATTTATTTATCACTCTCCGAGTTATCCGAATAAATAATCATGACATAGCAGTTCATCCGAGCATAAGTTCTCGATGTATTTCAGATCGAGCGAGTCATCCAAGCATTAGCTCTTTCACCAATTCACAATTTTTTGTGCAACGAACTGACAGTGGCCGAACGGCAGCGTTTGAAAATTGCGAAGCAAATTTTGAAAGATACTGGTAGAGTAATTTGTGATAAAATACTAAAATTCAAGTAAAATTAAATTAATTTATTGCATACAACCCTCAATTATCTGTTTTATCCAATTATTATTTCTCTGTTCCATGCTTCAATTATTCCTTGTAAAAGAAAAAAATTTTAAACATCTATCAAAAATTAGGGTAATATGAAATGAGACATTATTATTTATTACATCATTTATTGACAGGAATGCATTTAGTGGTAGTTTACTTTAATTTAAATTTCGTTTATTTAGTTAAAGATTTAAAATTTTTATTTGATTATTATTTGGTTGTAAATTCATTAGATTAATTCGATCTTTCAGATATACTGTTATTGGATAATATCACAAAAGGTATGGACCTCTACGATATGGCATTTGTCATCGACTATTTACGTGATTGGGCCATTAAACTGAATCGAATTGTTGTCATGGCCGTGCAACCACCAACAATTGAAATTTTAATTATGTTTCATAAAGGTGTGTGCATGTTTTTGTGACAGTGAAAAGAATAGTAAAGAGAGAGAGAAAGAGAAAGAGAGTGTGTCAAGTATATTTGATTGGACTTTATCTAAGATCATAAGAAGATATTGATTGAGGAATTGCAAAGTTAAACAAGGAATTATACAAAATATTGAGTAATGGAAAGAATAGTAGAATGGAATGACTTAATATAGTAATTGATGAAAATGATCAATTTCATAGAGTTTTTTTAGAAGATTTTAAAAAACTAAAAAAGTATTCAGTGTTGTACCTTAAAAAATGTATTTTAGTATTATTAATAGCATCTGGAAGAGTTATCTATTTTGGATTATCAAATCAGATGATGTCTTATTTTGAAGAAATTGGTTATCCATGTCCATCGTTCAAAAATCCATGCGATTATTACGGTTGAAAATTTATTTAGAAAAAAAAAAAACCATTCTGGTATTGAACAACGATAATTGAATTACATGTGCAAAAGAATGTTTGAAAAATTGATTAGTTTTTATGATTCAAAACAAATAAAACTAATTTTCATTCAGTTTGTTTTTTGCACCAAAACATTGCTTTCTAATTCATTCTGTGTAAGAAGAAGTGGTTCATGATTTCAAATTAAAGAATATTCATTTTTCCTCACAATAATAAAGTACAATTTTTGCAGTAGACTTAGTAACCCATGACTATTTGACCCCTGAATCATCTTTGGAATCAACAAATCGTATCAAACGATTAACAGAGATATGGAAGGAAAAAGCAGTTGATGATGAATACAAAATGGAATTGATGACCGATGAACTATCGCCAAAGGTTCATCGAATTAACCGTTGGCGAGCTGCGCTTCTCATTTACAGGCCTGTACTTTTTCTCTCATGAACATTTAAAAGTTTTCGCTAATATACATCACTTGAAAGGTAATTCAAAATCCTAAAATCATTCATTCATCCAACTATTTATTATAGTCTTTTAAAATTCTGAATAATTCGAAGAGTTAAGTCGTTTTTTAAGAGAATTTGAAAATGAAGATTTTACAGTTTTCGCTATCAAATTCAATGCAATGTTTTGTAAAATTTTGTCATTTAAAAAAAATTTTAGAAGTAACATTGCGTAACATTAACTTTTCTTCCATGTTCAATTTTCATAGATGAGGCAAGAAATCAACGAAATATTATGCTTCATTACCATTCAAATTCCTCTAAATTTTGAAATTCATAATTTCAGACGTTTTTTCGAAATATTTCTGAATAGGCCATGGATGTACGCCAAAGAACCAATTTATGCATTTCTCGTATCACTTTTTGTCGGTTTTCTGTTTTTCGAAATACCAAATGATCGATATGCCGCAATTAATGCTCGTTTTGGATTTATCATTTGTATACTCGCGATTTTCTTACTCCCCAATCTTTTTATCCATATCGAAA